GTTTTGAATCTATTGCTTTGAGTAAAATTAATGTTTTGGGGGGGTCTGTCTCTCTCTCCCTTCAGACACAGGCGCCTGGCTTTGCTGAAGCAAGTGAGTATCAGAGAGAACTGCTGCACACTTTGCTGTGATGAGGTAGCAGACACAGAACTCAGGCCGTGTGGACACAGGTAAAATCTTAAAAAAATCCAAGTCCAAATAAACAGGAAAATGTGTGTGTGATGTTCAGCTTAGATGAGGCCATATGCAGTCCCTGCTCATCTTGGTTGACTCCCCAGGATAAAGGAAAAAACCTTCTTTCCTTTTAAGGATGTGATGTGTAGAGGTTAAATACAGTATTCCCATAGTCTACTCATCCTAGACTTGAGCAGATTGAACCCCTAATTGTGTGTGTATTTGGGGATGTACAGAGGCTACATCTATGTGCTGCCCTGGGCTACTGAGTCTTATTTCCCAGATGTCAAAGGCTTTACTGATTAGTACTTGATACTGGTGCTGTGAAATCCAGATCATGTGAGGAGAGCAATTAATAATTATTAAATGTTCAACAAATGGGTTGTCTCAAGTCACAAATTCCTCTAAAAGCTAAAAATTAGACAGCAGTATGAGTTATACCGGTTACACCGTAATAGCACTTTCCAACCTTTAAGCAACCTACTAATAAATGATTCCAGTTAAGTCCAATTCCTTAGAGTTTTAGAGCACTCAGGGAAGGAGTCTTGTAGATGCTGGAAAGTTAAAAAGAGATGTGCCTGGTGTGTGCCAACAAGAAGTGGAGAAGTTGCTGCAGGGCACTGGGGCTACTCTCCAGACCAGAGGTAGTGCAAGGATTAATGAGCACAGGGAACTGGGATCCTGAGCAGCTGCAGGTCTGGGAGATGCTGAGCAGCAGGAGCTCCTCCCAAAGCCTGTAAATGGATCCACAACATCTGATAATCTTCACACTGAGGGACTGGACTTGACTGTGCCTCTGGCAGGCTGACTAAACTGCAAAGTGCTTGTGTTGTTCTGTTGTTGTTGTTGATTAGTTTTTCATAGTGTAAAAGCAGGCTTTAACTGTTTTTTCTTCTCCTTCAGTGACCTGTGCATGGAGTGTGCCTTGCAATTGGAGACCTGCCCTTTGTGTCGACAGGAAATACAAACCCGAGTCAGACAGATCTCTCACATTTCATGACACATGTGGAGAAATACAGACTGGTTTTTATAGAACTCCAACCAATACTGAAAGGGGAAAGCATCTCTAACCAATCTTTATGCACACAGAACCATAGCCATGGCCGGATTTCATGCTAATCTGTAATCTGTTTATCTTAAAACTGAAATCTTTAATAAGCTCTTCCCAGCTGCCAGCAATGGGAGCTGGTTTCAGCAGTCAGGAGCTATGGCTATTGGTTCCTCCGAGCAAGAGCAGAGGGAGTTGTCTCTTCTTCCCCTTTTCCTTCTCGCCTGTCGCAAGTGCTGAAAAAAATTGCACTGGAAGTACACATACAATGCATTTTAGAAAAGAAGACAGAATAAGTATTTCCTAAAACAGGGCTGTGCTGTCTTGTGCTCGAAAGTCTCTATTTTTGGCAGAAGTCAGTACTAAAAAGAGAATGCCAATGTTTTCCTGTTTAATGTAGCCTCCTGCTGGTCAGAGACTCTGTATTTTCCAATATTAAACTGCTCAAAGACTGAATCTGTACACAGACTGATTTGAAAAGACAGTGTGGAGACTGTAGAGAAACTCACAGGTTTTAATAACTTGGTGATTCCAAAGAATGTTCTGATTTGTTTTTAAATGTTAAAAGATCAGTGGTATTTTCAAGTACATAATGTTTCTGATACTTTTAACTTTAGTACCCACATTTTTTTGTGAGGTTATAATTTTCAGGAGGTATTCTTAACTAATTATAATGCTGGACTGGAATTAATTTCATATTCTGGGTATTTTTTAAGGTATCATCAAACATCTTTTTTAATCAGTGTTGTTTTTGAAAGTTATCTCAATTTTTCCAAAGTGAATATATCTTAAAATATTAGAGGAGACTTCTGGACCCATTTATTTAAAACAAGGTTATTTGGATAGCAATTTCAGTCTTATTCTTAACTTCTTAAAAATGCACCTTGCTTGCCACTTGTCAGTCCTGCTCTGAGCAGGTTTGGGGCCACACTTCTTATTTTTGGTAGGGATCATACAGTGGGAATCTCTGCTCCACTTTAATTACACATTTGTGATGTTTGTATGTTAAGGATGCACTTCAGTAGGCAGCTCTTGACTTTTACTAGGTTTCTACAAGGAATCAGGGTTCACAGCTGGTGTCAGTGAAGTAGCACAAAAATAGGTGGGGTTCTGCTTATTTTGCACCAACTGAGGATATTGACTCGGTCTCTTCCAAGTCTTGCACCGGTTGATTTTTAAAAAAATATCTGTCTGTATAGTAGAACTTTACCAATTCACACACAACTTACACCAAAACCATCCCAGTTCTTGGCAGTGATTCAGCAGCAGAGGCTGTTGTAGTGAATTCTCATGGTGTGATGTAGCTTATTTTTAAAATCATTCGTTATCTTTATTGTACTACAAAGTACTAACAAAGCAGGGCTGAGGCTGCTTCTTCCTGCTGAGCACTCTGGCTTCCTACAGACCTCAGCAGGAGCTGAGAGCTCTGCACACAGTTCCTAGAACCCAGCTCTCTAGCAACTCCTTTCACCTTCTGCCTTTGCTGACTCAAGGGTGCTGAACTTCATCCAGAGATGTGTGAATTGGGAAAGTTCTGTCCATTATTTTCATGTTGACTTTTGTCCAAATGTAGACTGAATCCAGCAGCAGAGTGCTGGTTAGTGTTTTTGCTAAAATGTGGATTCTCTTCCACCTTGGATGCCTGGTCTGATTTAAGTCAGACTGGCAAATCTGTGCCACAGGGATCTCATTTCCTTGCTGACTGTACTTAAGATGTTTTGTTGTATCCATGTTTTCAGTCAGGGCTGGGTCCCTTCCAACTCAGTGTTCAGTGAGCAAACGTGAGCGCCGTCACTGCCACAAGGGTGTTAAAAATTCAGAATCACTTGAAATGGAGTTCTAAGCTCTTCCAAATGCAGTAATGAGATTTTATCCCTAAGGTACAAAGTTACAAATCATACCTTAGGGAAGAGGTAGGACAAAACCATTTTGAACTCTGCCTTAATAGAGTCTAGTAATTTCAGGGCTTTGGTTTCCCTGGCCAGGATTAACTGAGGTAAAATTTTCAGAAGTGCCTGGGACTCCTAATTCGTATCAACTGCTGTATGAGATTAAGGTCTTCAGGCCCAAGTCCACAATGGCTTCTCGGCATCTGCTGTCCCCTTGGAATGTAGGTGACCTTAGAGCCCTGTGGACATGGGGCTAAGTGCCTGTGTTCTTTGTGAAAAAGATGTGAATGCTTTGGAAAATTTTGCCCCAGCCTGTCTTCCATGCAGCTGGTGCTGGGCAGAGGAAGGCAGCGGTGGCGGAGGAGGGAGCTGCGTTGTAGAGAGCTGTCCTGTTCATTTCACGAAGGGAAAGCCTGAAGGCTTTGCCCGGCTTTGTGCCGGGGGTTTGCAGGCTGGGTCCTCCACGAGCAGAGCGCCGTCAGCCTCGCCCCCTGCACCTCCGGGGCCGGGAGCTGCTGACTCCACGGGCCCTCACAGGGGCGGAAATCAATTGTAGCAAAGTTGTCCATTCAACAATAAAAACATTCTGAAGGCTGTTTGTTCTTTAATTCTTTAAACGCGCGTGTGGGTGGGACATTCGACATATGAGCGGGGGGGCCCAGGTGATAGCGCTGGTCGCTGGGCTGCAGCAGCTGGGGGCTGTCCCACCCCACGGCGCTCCGCTCGCTGACGGGAAGCCGCTCCACCGCTGCCATTAACAAGCAAAGAACGCCGTCTCCTGTCCCGTCTCCTGTCCCGTCTCCTGTCCCGTCTCCTGTCCCGTCTCCTGTCCCGTCTCCTGTCCC